ATAAACTTTGATTCTAGCCATGTAATTGTAAAAAAGTTGTTCCTGCTTGCATCTTTAAGGGTTTGCTTACATCTTTAAAGTTTCACTCTCTTGTTTTCCTCAGAAAACAGCACTACTTTTATACTTGTTTTCTACAGAATTAAATTCACAAAAACAGCTTCTCTGCAGCATTTAAGATTATTATTAGAAATCGCATAATAATGGTAATGAAATACTAATCATTTCTAAGGGAGAAAGGGCAGAACATTCGTTGTTCCATGGGCATGGTTGTCCCTTTTAATACTGTGTCTAATCAAAAATGCAGGAATTAAACTGCAACAGAATGACTGGAACATTTTAAATAACTTCTGTGACAGCTTGGAAGGAGGACTGTTGATACATATTACCATAACAGGTTTTAAAACTAGAAATTTATTCTCGTTTTATATTTCAAATTACTGAGGCAAAATGTGGGAGAAAAAAAAAAAAAAGTCCTATCCCAAACCAGCCTAGTTATTTAAACATTGTGCAGTCCCTTCCTCACTTTAACTCACCCAACATACAAAACAAGATGCACGCTAGCAGCACCAATGATGAACCCAATCATCTATTTAAGGGGGTTGCATAGTTATCCCAAAAGTAATCCAGCCGACAGCCTTTCAGCACAAGGAGGAGAAACCTGCATAGAACTGAGCTAAAAATTATCACTGCTTTTACGGGAGAAATAAGGTGCCAATGAATTGTTATTAGGATCGTTGCCACCACCATACGGCACAGTCTTCTCCCTTTAAGCCTGCTACAAGTGAGTAGCCAAACCTCTAGTGGATGAAACTATTTATATTCCTGTGAAATTAAACTATTCGTGTGCAAGAACCTCAGTCATGAATTAGGTCCGTATGTTCTTTACCAAACACCAAAAGACAAATGATGTCCGTCCCATGTTAAGTATGGTATGATTGAGTAGGAGAGTTCTTATTTCTACCTGTCAGGTACCATCGATCCATTCTGCTACTAAGTCAGCACATCTTCATCTCAGCTGCCTCCATTTAGTAACTTCATAGACGCCATTGTGATAGTAAAGAAAAATAAATAAAATAACAAGTAAAAATAAAACAAAGGGCTAGCTAGACTAAATGTTGTCCGTTATCCATTTTGGAAGCCTTTAAAGATTATATCTACTTAATGACCTGTAAAGCACATCATAGGTCTTCATAGCTATAGAAAACCTTTGTGTTTTGCTTACACTTTAAAATTTTCATATTTTTCAAAAAGGGAAGGGAAGGGAAGGGAAGGAAAGGGAAGGGAAGGGAAGGGAAGGGAAACTGTAATGCCTTTGTGGGGAGAGGGGGCTCAGCCCCATCAATAGTAAAATAATTGAAAATAAAGCCCCTTCTATCAATACTTTTTTTTTTCTGTTTTTTAATCTGCCTCTGCAGGACGATACTGCTTCTGCTGTTCTTTATTCTTCACAGTGCTGTATTGAGATATGGTGACTTTAGCAATTCTGGTAGCTTTTTCAGATACAAAATACTTTCAGGTCTGACGCAAGTTGATGTTAACATCATGTAGGGTCTGACAAGCAGAGGAGAAATCCTCTGCTCAGTCTTGCTTGAGAAATCCTGTGGGAGGAAGATGGGTAAAGGGCAACAGCTCTTCCTGTACAAGGACTCTCAGCTGTAAATTTCCATAGACATTAGACTTGTCTCCCTTTTACTCAGATTGCAATCGATTATAAGGGGGTAAATGGGCTACAGTGTCATCAGGACATTAATGTCCGCCTTTACGGCTCTGTTTTACCACACCCAGACACATCGAGATCCTTGTTGCTCCAGAATCCACAAGGGACCTATAGGATGTAGGATGACCAGTTGTCAATACTGATAGGATAATATGGCAATTTCTCGTAGAAATTTCCTAGGATTCCATTTATCCTGAAAAAATACTCACAAATGAAAAACAACATCAAAAAAAAAAAAAAGTTACTAAACCTATCATACATAAAGAACACTTTTAACAGCTCCGGGTTTTGGATCTGAAATAAATTATGGCTTCTGTCTCTCATGATCTTTTCATTAGCTTTAAAATGCCTCTGAACATTAAAATTTCACTTAACCAGGGATTAATCCTGAAAGTCAGGAGATGTAAGGACAAACAGACCTTCTGAGATGTATACTTATTCCAGCTTTTGATGGAAACTATTTTTTATAGTGTAATAGCAAATGTGCTATCCTTAAAGATAGCACATTTCTCTCTGTAAAGTCCTACATCTATAGTATCTACCTCAAGAAATGTAGGAAAGAGAAACACTTACTCACACCCGTCTCAGACTTTCTCTACTTCACCTTGGAATAAAACTAAAGGGCCTCATTTCCACTCAATTTCAAAATGGGGCCACTGAAGCACACAGATTCAGCAGTTAAACATCATTTTTTCGACAGGTAGACTGAGGAAAACCCTACATTATGCAGTGGCTGAAGATCTTTTATGGGAGGGTTTAACACAAATTACTTTCTATAAACCTATAAATGGTCTATGGTCAAGCAACCTCAGAAATCCTCTCTCCGTCTCTAGTTCTAGTCATATAAAAGGAAAAAATTAACTGCCACTGCCTTGAGGAAGCCTGAGCCCTCTCTTCTCTGAGCACTAAAGAAACGCCTGGAGAAACAAAGTGCAACAAAGGCTTACAAGATATCTGCGAGCAAACTTTCTTCCCTGGTGTCATGAGTTTTATTTGAGGCTTTTGTATCCTGCTCCTCACAATGTGACAGGTTAGATCATCCTTTCATCATACACTCCCGTTCACGTTCTTTGGTCATGATGTGAAACACTTTTGTGAGTGCTCAGCATAGCTGCAGTCTTGAGGAGTTTAGACTGTTCAAAGAATCGTGATATGAAGATATTAAGATACCTCGTACCTTAGCCCGACAGCTGCAGCCTCCTGCATAGCAAGAAAAGCAAGCCCGACTCCAGCTTCGATGTAGCTAATAAAGCAGAGGTCCCCATATGGTTTCAGTGGGATCTTTGGAACATCTGGCCCTTCATTACATGTTTGAAAAACTTAACATCGTCAGATCCGCTCTCCTGCTCCTGGTCCTCCCTGTAAACCCATAAACCTCCTGGTTTACCCGGGCACAGTTAAGACACGGGCTATTCACTCGCATCGCATTTCCCACATCAGATTGGCAGCTTTGAACACTTTTTTCCCTCCCTCCCTCCTGCTGCCACAAATCAGAGTGGAAAAGCGCCCACCCCGAACCCCATTCCTCCCGCATCCTTGGGGATGAGCTGCACTGCGAGGGCACCCTCAGCGTGGGGAGTTAGCTCCTCTCCCTCTGCTCCTCAAAAAAAGGAAAAGGAAAAGGAAAAGGAAAAGGAAAAGGAAAAGGAAAAGGAAAAGGAAAAGGAAAAGGAAAAGGAAAAGGAAAAGGAAAAGGAAAAGGAAAAGGAAAAGGAATAATAAAAAACAAACAAACAAACAAAAAACCCCACAAAGTCAGGGTCTTGCTTGAGGTCTTTCCTCGCTGCAGATCCGACCTGTTGTTTTGCTTTTTACAAGGGGAATCCTCTGTTCGGGGGTTTACTTGGGAAAGCCGAGATTTCTTTTTGCTTCCTATTCCAATCATCTTCAAGTGCACGCGTTAGGATGAGCGACGCTAGCCTAAAGTTTAAGACCAGACCTGTTGATTGCAAATACCCGTAACGGGCTGGTGAAGGTTAGGCACGGCGAGACAGAGCCAGGAGCTGCTCATCAAAAGAACCCTTCTTGTAATACGATTTAAAACCGTCCCATCTTGCTCCTTCCCACAGAAAGAGCCGAAATCGAGGGGAAGGTTCTCATGCGCTCTAAAATTTGGGGAAGAGTAGGAATTCCCGCGGGATCAAGGCAGACACGTATGCAACATTGCGGCCCCAGTGCAGAGGTCTGTTCCTGAGCGATCGTGCAGATCCTAGCGCTGCATCCCCCGAGGTTTGCGAGCTGCTCGGCGGGCGGAGCGCAGAGCCCCGGCTCCTCCGGGACACGGCCACGGGCTGAGCAGCCCGGGGCGCCAGGCCCTGGCCTTGGGGATCTCTCAGTTTCCAGGGACCCCGGGACTTCCCGGGATCCCTCTGATTGTCTCCGACAGATGCTGGTGTCCTGCGACCCTGCACCTCCCGCTAGCGAAGAAACCGCAGCCCCGGGGCCTCCCTTTCCCGGGAGGCATCCCCAGCCTCAGCTTCCCCCTGGGATTTATAAACTCAGTATCCTCCCGTCAGCGCCTACCGGAGAGCGGGCCCCGCTTTTAAGGCTCGGTTTAGGAGAGTCTATTGAGCAGCTAATAGCCTAACAACTCTGCTTTGATCAGGCCGAACTAATTACCCCTCTTAATTAAAGTCTTTAGCGGTTGCTTCAGTGTTTTGGCAAGGAGGCAGGAGGGGTTTGCGGATCGCAAACAGCAGCCCCGGGGCTCGCGGCGCCGCTCCGCGCCTCGCCACGACTCTGCCCGGGCCGGGGCCCTCGGGCAGCGGGTCGGTGCTTCCGGCAATCAAATTCCAAATATTTATTTCCACCAGCTCCACGATTTTTTTTCCACGTGCAAGAATCAAACCGAAATTCAAATCCGTACATAGCGAACCAGCTCTGCCCGTATAGATACGATATTCAGGGGAGGAAGAGGAGGAGATCCAGAAGAGGAGAACAACCAGCAGGCATCGGAGACAGGGCAGAACCAACACAATGAAAATATATATATATATATATACACACATCGAAATAATTAAAGTGGTGCAGCATTCCCGGCTCGGGTAATACAAATCCTAAATAAATACAGCAGAAATCGGCAATCTGCTTGGTGCCATTTTCTTTTCTTTTCTTTTTTTCTTTTAAACCATCTCTTAATCTGAGATGGAAAAAAAAGTCTTAAAAAAAAAAGTCTTAAAAAAAAAGAGGAAACGATCGGTCCCATGGACGTGAGTGGCGATATAGCGCATAACACACAAAACCGCGTAGCAGGTGCATGCAAGGAGGCGGGCGGCGGGCGCGATCACTGCGGCTGCTGGCCCGGGAGCAGCGGCGCGGGGCCGGGGCCGGGGCCGGTGCTGTCGTGCAGCTTGCGGACGTGCTTCTTGAGGTCAAAGTTCCGGCAGAAGCCCTTGCCGCACGTGGGGCACGTGAAGGGCTTCTTGTCGTTGTGGGTGTGCATGTGGAAGGTGAGGTTGTAGACCTGGTGGAAAGCCTTGTTGCAGATATTGCACTTGAACTGCTTCTCCCCGCTGTGCGTCAGCTTGTGGTTTTTGTAGTTGCCTGCGGGGCGAGACAAGGAGGGCAAAGGGAGCGGGTGCTGAGAGCCGGGCGTTGCAAGGTGGAAAATAATACCAGCAAAACCCCTCTCCCATGCCTGGCTTTAACTGAAAATCATCAGTCGATCTTTTGAGTTGCTTTCTCCCCCGCCTCCCCGCGGCATTTCCTTTTCGACAGCCAAAGAAATAATTATCGAATAAAACAAAATCACCTCAGTGGTAAAAATAAAGAACGCTTTTTTGCCCTTCCCGGTAGCACGCGGATCAAAAGCAGGAATTGCTCCTAACCAAACACCACAAGGCAAAAAAAAAAAAAAAAACAAAAACAAACAAAAACACAAACAAGAAAACCCCCACCAACAGAGAAAGTGTTTGCTAAACTGTACTGCAGGCTGCAATTTCTAAATGGACACCGTCCGAAGAAAGTTTGCCCTTTCGCTACGCCTAAAGAAAAAAATAAGAATAATAAAAAACGATTGTCCCGTTTTGTGAGCCATATCACGGAAATGTTTAACGGATTATTTAAAATAACCAAAACCTCCAAGAATGTAATTTTAGAACTAAACCCAACTCCTCCCTCCTTCCGCACGGTAAATCCTCGACCTCAGCCTGGGAAGGCCGGCCGGAGGGGAGCGCGGCGCGGGGCACGGTACCTTTCTGGTGAAACCCTTTGCCGCAAAACTCGCAGACGAAAGGTTTGTAGCCGGCGTGTATCCGCGTGTGCGTGTTCAGCGTGGAGCTGCGGTTAAAGGCCTTGCCGCACTGGTTGCACTTGTGCGGCTTTTCCTGCGGGGAAACACGACCGCGTCACGGCTCGGGCCCTTGCGCTCGCCTATAACGCGCGGCCCTCCGAGGCCGCTGCCGGCGCGGCGGGGACCGGCGGGCCCCTAGTTTCGGGCCCGGGGAAGCAAAAAAAAAAGCGCGTTAAACACCTTGACGGGTAAAGCAGACACGAACGGCCGCGATTAGGGGGCGAGAGCAACGAGAGGGCGATCGTCGGTCAAAAATAAAGCAAACAAAAGCACCCCCCAGAAAACAAGCAAGCAAGCAAACAAACAAACAAACTAAAAATGAAACGCGAACGAAATAGAGCGGGCAAACAAAAAAAATATCAGGGTAGGAAGCGCCGGGAAGCAAAGGGAGGGTTCGCTCTTTACTTGCCTTTCCGCAAACTTCGCACGTGAAAACTTTGGGCTTGCTGCTCGGGGAGCCGCGGCTGAACTCAGAGGTCTTGTAGGCGATTTTCTCGGAGAGGAGCTGGGCGCTCTCCTTCATGTAATGCTGCAGCTGAGCCTGCGACAAGTCCTTGAAGGCGACCCCGGCGGGATACTTGTCCACGGCGGGCAGCACCAGCTTGTTCCGCTCCGCCAGGTAAGCCTTGGGCTGCGGATGCAAGGGGGAGCTGAGGAAATAAGAAGCCACCGGGTGGATGTTGACACTGGAGGACGGGTGACAAGGGCTGTCGCCTCGGTTGAAATAGCACAGGGCTCCCATGGCGTGGAAGGAGGAGTGATTGACCACTCGGGGTCTTACCAGTTTGTACTGCTGCAAGGGCAGGGCGTCGCGGGGGAAATCTCCTTTCAAGCTCAGGGCACAGTTCAAGAGATCGCCGCAGCTAAAGGAGGGCGAGGAAGAGGAGTCTACGTGAGCCTTCCTGGGTTCCGCTCCGGCCACGGCCGCTTTGGGCAGGGGGTCGTACGCCACCGGGACAAAAGGGATCATGCAGGGGATGGAGGAGTTGAGGTGCAGCGGGTGCTTGGGGTCGCCTTTGGCCACGGAGCCCTGCAGGAACTGCGGGACGGGGATGGAGCGGGGCTCTGGCGTCCTCGCCATGATTCGCTCAATGGAGAAAGCGAGGGGTTTGGGAGTGCTGATCATGTTGCTCCTCGCAGACAGGCTTTCTCTGGCCGGAGGAGTCGCTAGGATTTTGGTCGCCGTGTGGTGGCCACTATTGTCCATGGCTGGATTGCATTTGTTCGCCCGCTTTGAGCCGCTTTGGTAGACGCCTCTTTTTTTTTTCCCCCTCTCTCTTTCACTCTCTCTCCCCCCGTTCTTGTCACTGATCTGCAAGGAGGGAGCCCAGCATCACCGCCGCCACCATCACCGCAGCGTCCGCCGGCGGAACCAGCCTTCTCAGTCCAGTGGACTCATGCCAGCCCATCGCCGTTTACTTTGGCGCACCAATGACTCGGGACAATCGCTACTTATTTCTATCAATAGAAAGTGTTGTGTCAATAACGCAGCCAAGATCTCGCCAATCGTTAACTTCCAAGAGGAGAAGGTAAACTAGATAATTGCTCAATTCGCTTCCAACAGTCAACAGGAAAAGTTTTTTCCCCCCCAGTAAGCGGCTACTTCTCATTGGCGCCCGCGCCTCCCCCGCCCAGGGTAGGAGGTGTCTCCTGCTCTGTCTCTCTCCCCTCTGCTTCTCTCTCGCTTTTTTTTTTATTTTTTTATTTTTTTTTTTTATTTATTTATTATTATTATTATTATTATTTGCAATCTGCTTAACCAGGCTTTAGAGGCCCAGCAAACCCGAGATCAATTTTCTCGTTTGGCTTTAAGTGACATCATCTAAAATCATTGTCCAAGTGCTAAATAGGGATGTGAAACTCAATTCGAGGGCAAGCGCTGGGGTGTATTTGTCAAACGAGGTGCCGCAGAAGAAGCGGCTGGAGGGGAAGCCGGTTGTTTCCGCGCCACTTTCCAGCCCGCGCTCGCGTTGTGCGTGGGTGTGAGTGTCTCACGGAGGGAGGGAGATGGCTGAGATGCGGACACTGCTCCTCGCCTGCTCACTGCTTTAAAGAAGCAGGTCAGAGGGCTGTGAGCTTTGGAGGAACATGGGAAATAAGCGAGCGCGGAGATTGCACTAAGGGTGTGTGGAACCACCGTGGGACAAATCCAGAGCAAAATGGGGGGGATCAAAACCCTGGGATGGGGGAGAGGAGAAAAGGGAGATGAAGAGCCTCTAACATACGAAGCACCAGTTACAAACACAGCAAGTGAACTGCGGAGACACTAGCTCTGCCGGTTAAAAAAGCACAAATAAATGACAAAAACTTGGGATCAATATAGACGCACATACACAGAAGTATATGATCCAAAACACCTCCGTGTACACCTGGATACACGTAGTGCCCATGAGTTTAAGCAAAGCTTGCAGACCCCGCTCACGAAGGAGAGCTGACGCCCCGGGTGCTCATAGTATCGGCGAGCGGGCAAGGATGGCTTGGGCTGGTTTGGATAATCCCCCTCACCACCAAATGACAGTCCAGGAGCAGAAGGTTTCGTTTCGGCTCCCACTCCCCGCACCCCTCCCCGCGTCCTCCCTGAGTCTCGCTTGGCTGGGGAGCCAGAAGACTCCCCCGCGGAACCCCCGGGCCCTC